GGCTTATAACCAGTGAGGATACCATCGCTGCCAAGGACGTCAGCACGGCGCAAGCTCTGAAGGACAAACATCCACCCAGGGCTCCCAGTACCAACATTGACCTCCCTGACATTGCAGCAGGCGAAGAACATCTAACCTTACAGGATGCTGATGTGTATAAAGCTGCTATGTCATTTCCACAGGGTTCAGCAGGAGGTTTCACCGGTTTAAGGCCTCAACACTTAAAACAAATACTCAATCCAGCACGTGGTGAAGTTTCAGAGAGGCTGCTGTCTGAACTCACCAAATTTTCCAACCTGTGCCTGGCTGGCAGTGTTCCAGAGGCCATCAGACCCTTTTTCTTTGGTGCCTCATTGTGTGCCCTCCGGAAAAAGGATGGCGGAATCAGGTCCATTGCAGTAGGCAACACCCTTCGGCGCCTAGTCGCCAAGGCTGCAGTAAGAAGGGTGAGTCAAGAGGCTGCTGCAATGCTGAAACCAACTCAGCTCGGTTTCGGCGTTCAACAGGGCTGTGAAGCAGCTGCCCACGCAGCACGAATATATATCAAAAACATGTCCGATGAAAAAGCCTTGGTCAAATTGGACTTTGCCAACGCTTTCAACTCAGTCAGAAGGGATGCTGCTCTCCAAGCAGTTTATCCCTTCATAGAATCGTGTTATAGTGTGACTTCCAAGCTATTGTTTGGGGACCATGAAATTGACTCATGTGAGGGCGTGCAACAGGGGGACCCTCTCGCCCCCTTTCTATTCTGTTTGGTCATCAAGGAAGTCACAGAAGCACTCTCCAGCGCGCTCAATATCTGGTTCCTGGACGATGGCACAACAGAGTCTCTCCTAGAGGACATCAGTAAAATTAAAGACATGGGAGAAAGCCTGGGCCTCTCTTTAAACCCCACCAAATGTGAAATAGGTTCTACCAATCAACAGATGATCCAGAATATTAGCGCCGTTTTACCAGGAGCACGAGCCATTGATCCAGCCAATAGCACTCTCCTCGGTGCTCCTCTTGGGTCCAATGCCATCGATCTGATCCTAGAAAAAAAAGTCTCAGACCTACGGACGATAGAAAGCAGGATGAAAGACACTGACACACACGATGCCTTCTACCTACTCACCAGGTGCCTGTCAGTCCCAAAACTTACCTACTTTCTAAGATGCTCCCCAGCCTTCAGCAGTCCAAAACTCAAGGAATATGACTCTCTCCTTAAGACCATGCTAGAGAGTGTATTGAATCTTTCCCTTGAAGATGGACAGTGGTTGGAAGCCTCACTTCCGGTCAGGCTTGGGGGGCTAGGAGTACGCAGATCCTCCCAGATTGCTCTACCAGCTTTCCTATCCTCTTCCATAGCATCAAACGAGTTGATAAGACAAATTCTTCCTGATACCCTCAGTGACTCAGCAGGAATAGAAGACCCTAGCTATGCCAGTGCCATCACTGAATGGGAGACTCTTGCTGCTCCAGCACCAAACCCTAGTGCAGCACTGGCTCACAAACAGTCAAGCTGGGATGGCCCAATCGCTGAAAAGGTGCTTGCCAACATGCTCAGGGCTGCAACATCAGATAGGGAGATTGCCCATCTCCAGGCTGTGAGTGCACCTCACTCCGGGGACTTCCTCCAGACAGTTCTCATATCGGCAATGGGAATACGACTCGACCCTAAGACCCTCGGTATTGCAGTGGCTCTGCGCCTTGCTGCCCCAATTCACACAGAATATACGTGTATTTGCAGTGAAGCGCAAGCAGACCAATACGGTCTACATGGTCTTAACTGTTCCAAAAACAAGGGCTGGCATGCAAGACACAATGAGGTCAATGACATCATTAAGAGAACCCTTGCTACAGCTGGATGCCCAGCCTAGAGGGAGCCCTGATCACTAGCAGCCAACAATACCCACAACCCAGCAAACCGCCCGGACGGGATCACCATCTATCCTTGGAAGAATGGCAAGCTCTTAGCATGGGACTATCCTGTGTGTCCACACTGGCTGACACCTGTATCCATCACAGTGTTGGGCGACAGGGAGGAGCTGCTGACCACAGATCAGCAAGTACAGGGACATAAACCAACAGTATCAATTTGTCCCAGTGGGATCAGAGACCTTGGGATCATGGGGAAAAAATGCCATATGTTTCCTTAAAGAATTGGGTTCCAGATTCATCGACACCACCTGGGACCCAAGGGCAGCCACTTTCATGTTCCAGCGCCTCAGCGTAGCCATCCAGAGGGAAAATGCATGCTGCATACTTGGCTCGCGTCCAGCCTCGGAAGAGCTGGAGGAAATTCATGATCTTTGATATATTGTGCCATTGTATTCATATTTATATGTTTTTTTGTAAATGTATTCTGTTTATTAATAAATGTTCACATAGAATATAAAATATAGGGGGTGGTAGGAGAAGAAAATATTCAAACAGCTCCGGGGAGAACCTTAAGTTTTCCCTGAGGTACGTTTATTGTCTTCTCTGAGGATGAGGGTCCCCAGTCCAGCAATAGAGGTGGTACTTCCCTATATGAATTATATATATATATATATATATATATATATATATATATATATATATATATATATATATAATATATATATATATATATATATATATATATATATATATATATATATATATATTAGAAAACGTTTCGGTCCTGGGACCTTGATCAGAAGTGATCAAGGTCCCAGGACCGAAACGTTTTCTAATAAATATGTATAGTGTTTGCTTACGTGTCTTTCTAAACCAACTTGTCGGTATTTATTACCAAGGTTTATACCATATATATATATATATATATATATATATATATATATATATATATATATATATATATATATAATATATATATATATATATATATATATATATATATATATATATGTATATATGTATATATATAATTTATAAAAAAGGATAAATATACTTACATAATGTTTATATGGGCATGTATATATTAATGAACACAGAACATTAACAATATATATCAATAACAGAACAAAGTCAGTATGGAATAACGTATATATGGCACACAATAAAAGGCTCTATGGGACACCTACAATCTCCAACACAATCACTTAATTGTTTATCAAATTTGAACTTTTTAACCACGGAGAAATGTGAACAATGAGATGATCATGTTTACTGATTGGTGTACACTATCTTGCTGTCTTGGTGTACACTATCTTGCTGTCTTGGTGTACACTATCTTGCTGTCTTGGTGTACACTATCTTGCTGTCTTGGTGTACACTATCTTGCTGTCATGGTGTACACTATCTTGCTGTCTTGGTGTACACTATCTTGCTGTCTTGGTGTACACTATCTTGCTGTCTTGGTGTACACTATCTTGCTGTCTTGGTGTACCCTATCTTGCTGTCTTGGTGTACACTATCTTGCTGTCTTGGTGTACACTATCTTGCTGTCTTGGTGTACACTATCTTGCTGTCTTGGTGTACCCTATCTTGCTGTCTTGGTGTACACTATCTTGCTGTCTTGGTGTACACTATCTTGCTGTCTTGGTGTACACTATCTTGCTGTCTTGGTGTACCCTATCTTGCTGTCTTGGTGTACACTATCTTGCTGTCTTGGTGTACACTATCTTGGTGTCTTGGTGTACACTATCTTGGTGTCTTGGTGTACCCTATCTTGCTGTCTTGGTGTACACTATCTTGCTGTCTTGGTGTACACTATTTTGCTGTCTTGGTGTACACTATCTTGCTGTCTTGGTGTGCACTATCTTGCTGTCTTGGTGTACACTATCTTGCTGTCTTGGTGTACACTATCTTGCTGTCTTGGTGTACACTATCTTGCTGTCTTGGTGTACACTATCTTGCTGTCTTGGTGTACACTATCTTGCTGTCTTGGTGTACACTATCTTGCTGTCTTGGTGTACACTATCTTGCTGTCTTGGTGTACACTATCTTGCTGTCTTTGTGTACACTATCTTGCTGTCTTTGTGTACACTATCTTGCTGTCTTGGTGTACACTATCTTGCTGTCTTGGTGTACACTATCTTGCTGTCTTGGTGTACACTATCTTGCTGTCTTGGTGTACACTATCTTGCTGTCATGGTGTACACTATCTTGCTGTCTTGGTGTACACTATCTTGCTGTCATTGTGTACACTATCTTGCTGTCTTGGTGTACACTATCTTGCTGTCTTGGTGTACACTATCTTGCTGTCTTGGTGTACACTATCTTGCTGTCTTGGTGTACACTATCTTGCTGTCTTGGTGTACACTATCTTGCTGTCTTGGTGTACACTATCTTGCTGTCTTGGTGTACACTATCTTTCTGTCTTGGTGTACACTATCTTGCTGTCTTGGTGTACACTATCTTGCTGTCTTGGTGTACACTATCTTGCTGTCTTGGTGTACACTATCTTGCTGTCTTGGTGTACACTATCTTGCTGTCTTGGTGCACACTATCTTGCTGTCTTGGTGTACACTATCTTGCTGTCTTGGTGTACACTATCTTGCTGTCTTGGTGTACACTATCTTGCTGTCTTGGTGTACACTATCTTGCTGTCTTGGTGTACACTATCTTGCTGTCATGGTGTACACTATCTTGCTGTCTTGGTGTACACTATCTTGCTGTCATGGTGTACACTATCTTGCTGTCTTGGTGTACACTATCTTGCTGTCTTGGTGTACACTATCTTGCTGTCTTGGTGTACACTATCTTGCTGTCATGGTGTACACTATCTTGCTGTTTTGGTGTACACTATCTTGCTGTCTTGGTGTACACTATCTTGCTGTCTTGGTGTACACTATCTTGCTGTCTTGGTGTACACTATCTTGCTGTCTTGGTGTACACTATCTTACTGTCTTGGTGTACACTATCTTGCTGTCTTGGTGTTCACTATCTTGCTGTCATGGTGTACACTATCTTGCTGTCTTGGTGTACACTATCTTGCTGTCTTGGTGTACACTATCTTGCTGTCTTGGTGTACACTATCTTGCTGTCTTGGTGTACACTATCTTGCTGTCTTGGTGTACACTATCTTGCTGTCTTGGTGTACACTATCTTGCTGTCTTGGTGTACACTATCTTGCTGTCTTGGTGTACACTATCTTGCTGTCTTGGTGTACACTATCTTGTTGTCTTGGTGTACACTATCTTGCTGTCATGGCTGTACAATCCATGGTGTACATATTCCATCCTTTCCATCTCCTTCTCCTTATATTCTCCATTTCTTCCCTCCTACTCCTCTTCGTTTTGCTCCGTTCCCCAATTCTTTTTTCCCCCCTCCTTCACCTCTTCTATTTATCCTTTTCTCTCTCCCTTCTTCTCTCCCCTACCATTCCTTTTCTTGGTGTCCTGCGGATTACAGGAAGCTTGATAACGTCTCTAAACGTATTAGTGACGTTAATCCCCCCTTTCTGATTACTCATTTTCGTATTTTTTCTCTTTTTAACGTTGTTTCTTCCGCTTCCTTTCGTATTTTCTCTCGCGTATTTTTCCCCCGTTGTTCCTTTTCTTGCTGTCCTGGTGTCTCTCCTTCTTACGCTCTGAGGAAGAAGATAATGAAGATTGTGTAGTGTGTAGGCCAAATTATTATTTCAACAACAACAACAACAACAACAACAACAACAACAACAACAACAACAACAACAACAACAATAATAATAATAATAATAATAATAATAATAATAATAATAATAATAATAATAATAATAATATCTTCATTTACTACCAGTACATGTACAAGGTATACAGACCATAGCTGACATCACTGACATACTACTATATAGAAAGCTGCTTGTTACGCAGAGTATTTCGGGCAAATTAGGTCAGTTTTGTCCCAGGATGCGACCCACACCAGTCCACTAACACCCAGGTACCCATTTTATTGATGGTTGAACATAGACAACCAGTGTAAGGAAACACGTCCAATGTTCCTACCTTCGCCGGGAATCGAACCCGAACACTCGCCGAGAGCTCTAGCCACCACAATATACCTATCACATGGAGTAGTAGGTACACTGTGTGTGTGTTCCCACAGTGTACCTATCACAAAGAACCCTGATCCACCATGAAGCCTGGTCACAGACCGGGCCACGGGGGCGTTGACTAAGCTCCTAAAAAAGCCAGTGTACTTACGGACTGAGAAAGACTGTGAGTTTGATAACGATAGCATCGTTCTTGATGTAGTTCCGCGAGCGTAGCACCTCCTTGGAGAAGCCTAGTCCCACACACTCGTAGTTGTCACCGGAGCCTGGTCGGCGCCAGTTCCACCCTGAACACAGCTCAGTCGGGTCCCAGACGCGGCTGGTCAGGTCTTCGGCCGGGAACCCGTGATCCAGGATGTTGATCCTGTGTTTTAGGCGGAAGGGCCAGTCCAGGGAAGAGTCGTAGTCTCCTGGAGGAAGCGAGAAAGAGGGAATGGTTGACTGAAGAGAGAAGGAGGGGAATTGATGTGTTCAGTACATCAGTCTTAAGGAAAGTACTATTTTTCAAGACTGATTGATGGACAGAACACATCGACTCCAGGCTGAGGGACTGATAACCTCAGACATATTCTCCTCATCTTTCACCGTTCTTCACTGTATTGGACTGAAGAATCCACTGGCTAGCTAAACAAGTATCTCATTCCGCATGCTGCAGTATGTTACTACTACTACAACTACTACTACTACTACTACTACTACTACTACTACTACTACTACTACTACCACTGCTATTACTACTATCATCACTACCACTACTGCTACTACTACCACTACTACTACTACTACCACTGCTATTACTATTATCATCACTACCACTACTACTATTACTACTACTACTACCACTGCTGCTACTACTATCATCACTACTATTACTATTACTATCACCACTTCCACCACTACCACCACTACTACTACTTCCACTACTACCACCACTGCCACCACCACTATTACTCCTGCTACAGCACATGGGAAATGGAAGTGAAAATCAGTTCTAATTCCTCAAATCAAGATCCCTTCACCAGCATCAAGACACCCTTCAAGGAGGGAACATAAGAATAGAGGGACACTGCAGCAGGCCTACTGGCCCATGCAAGGCAGGTCCTTCTCAAACCCAAACCCACTAACGGTAATATTTGCCCAACCCAAAATCAATATCACCTAAGAAATAAGCCTTGATAACCCTATTAACAATTCCCACTCGAATCCAACCCCTGTCACTCAAGTATTTATCTAACCTAAATCTGAAGCTACCCAAGGTTTTAGCTTCAGAAACCCTACAATGCCAGTCACACTTAGTACAATGTTGCAGAGTACAATGGCATCTTGCAGCTCTTGTTCAACGTGTTCGTGCCCTCGCTGCACTTGAACGACCTCATTATCGAGCATCAGTGTAAGAACAGCCGGTAATTACCGTGCAAATGAACGTTCACTTGCTACTGATCAGAAGCACCGTAAGATGTTGAACGTTCACACTGCATGGCTGAAGTCATTTGGCTAATTACAGGAGTTTAATGAGCATAATTAGCGGAGCTTAATGAAGGGCCAGACGGCAGAGTGAGCAGATAAGAGAAGGAAGGTACGTGAAGGAAGGTGTGTGAGGGAAGGTACGTGAATGAAGGTACGTGAAGGAAGGTACGTGAAGGAAAGTACGTGAATGAAGGTCTATGAAAGCAGTGAATGAAAGTGAATCGGAAACTTGTTAACTTAAGTTGAAAAAGACTTAGCATCACTCAGAGACTTGACGTACCAGACTAAGTTGCGAGAACTTGACAGCATCCAAGTGAAGATAGAAATTTGCCACTTGAAGCAGAAAATGCAACTCAAGTTGCTCATTAGACAAACAAAAAAAAAAACAGAGAAACTAAGTTTGGCAACAGAAAAAAAAAAGATAAACTCAGAATAAATTAGAAGACACAAGTTGAAGAGCTTTGTCAAGTCATGTTCCACTCTATGTAGAGCTTTATCAAGTTAGGCTTTGATCTGTGTAGAGCTTTATTATGTTTTACTCAGTGTAGAGCTTTATCAAGCCATGTTTCACTCTGTGTAGAGCTTACAAAGGGGCATTCCTGTCTTACGAATTTACTAACTTTTTTCACTAAGGTGTTTGAGGAGGTAGATCATGGTAATGAATATGATATTGTGTATATGGACTTCAGTAAGGCTTTCGATAGAGTTCCACATCAGAGGCTATTGAGGAAACTTAAGGCACACGGAATAGGAGGAAAAATTTTTTCCTGGGTAGAGGCATGGCTGACAAATAGGCAGCAGAGAGTTTGCATAAATGGGGAGAAATCAAAATGGGGGCACGTCACAAGCGGTGTTCCTCAGGGGTCAATGGTGACCTGTACTTAACTCTGTGAAGAAGTGTCTTGTGTGCTCCCGTGGACTGAACCAAGATGCCCTCCATCGAGCAACTTTACCAGCAGCTTAAGGAAGAATTGAGGGTAGCGAAGATGGAGATACGGCGATTGACCGAGGAGAACAAGAGGATTCGTAGTAGTCCTCCTGTTTCGAGTCCTCAGGTCAAGAAGGGATCGTGGTCAGTGGCTGGACAGCAGGGGACGAAGTTGACGATCAAGAAGACGAATGGAAAGCCAGAAACGATGAAGAAGAAAGAGACTGCTGTAGAAACTCTTGTGGAAACCTCCAACGCATTCTCGGTGCTACCCGACGAATGTGAGTCGACTACTGGGATCGTCACGATGAACGACAACAAGGAAGGTAAGAATATTCTTGTTGCTGGGGATAGGGCATTCTGCTTGAAGGACAGGAGTAGGAGACAGAGGGTTTGCTTTCCTGGGGCTGGGATGGAGGACATTGTTAGGCAGCTTGACAAGATCATGAACGGTAATGGGATCAATCCTATTATTTGCCTCAGTGTTGGAGGCAATGATGTAGGCAAGCATAGAAGTGAGGATTTAGTTAGAAAGTTCAGGACAGCTATAGACATAATTAGGAAGAAGGGGGGGCGCCCTGTTATATGTGGCATTTTGCCAAGAAGAGGTGTTGGTAATGAATGGTTGTCCAGAGCAATTGGTATTAATTGTTGGCTGGATAAACACTGTAAGGATAATGCAGTACCATTCATTGACAAGTGGGACAACTTCTATGGCCGAAATGACATGTATGCCAGGGATGGGGTTCACTTATCCAGGGCAGGTGTCGGTTTTCTTGCTAACTCAGTTGAGGGGTTGTTAGGACTTTAAATTAGGATTAGTTAGAGGTATGGGTTTAGAAATGATAAATAATGAGTATGGATATATTGACTTATGCTCTGATATTAAGAATCTTAATAGTAACTGTCATGGAGTAACTCTGGGTAATGATAATTTCAGAAATTGTGTAAAAACAAAGATCAATAGGAAAAATGTGCAGAAGAAAAAACGTATGATGGTATTTTATGCTAACAGTCGAAGTGCAAGAAATAAAATTAATGAACTACGTTTGGTAGCATGTGCTGGGAACTTTGATATCATTGCATTAACTGAAACTTGGTATGATTTAAAGAGTCGGGATATGACTGCTGAGTGTAATATTCAGGGATTTAAGTTGTTCAATGTGGATAGATCTAATGGGAAGGGGGGAGGAGTTGCATTATATGTTCCAGAAAATATTAATTGTTGCATAAAAACAGGTATAAAAATAGATGGAGCAGTAACAGAATCTGTTTGGGTAGAGTTCGTAGAGGGTCAAGAAAAACTAATTCTAGGTGTAATATACCGACATCCAGGCTTGGATCACGATAGAGGGAGACTTCTTTGGGACGAAATTGTTAGGGCTTCTAGACACAATAACATAGTCATAGTAGGGGACTTTAACTTTAGTCAAATTGACTGGAATTCTTTGACAGGTAATCTAGAGTCCAGTGACTTTATGGAAACAGTTCAGGACTGTTTTCTGAAGCAGAGCATAACAGAGCCTACCAGGGGTAATAATTTGCTAGACCTAGTCTTGTCAAATAAGGAAACACTCGTGAATAATCTGGAGATCACTGAAGAGCTTGGCGCAAGTGATCACAAAACCATCACTTTTAGCATTAACTGGCAATGCAAGAATAATGATAATACAGTATAAATCCCTGATTTTCGTTCTGCCGATTATAATGGACTTAGGGAACATCTGTCTAATCTTGATTGGGGTTATCTAGCTAATGATTTTATTGACGATAATCATACTTATGAATATGAAGGGATCTGCTTTTATGATTGTTTTCTTAATAATGTACACAGTGCCCAGAGTATATACATTCCCCAGAGAGAAATTAGGTCTAATAATAACGATCCCAAATGGGTTAACAGTAGGTTAAAGCATCTATTAGGGGAGAAAAGGGGAATTTATAGGCGCATCAGAAGAGGAGAGGTTAACCTTACTGACCAATATGTTCAGCTTAAAAGAGAAGTAAAAAAGGGGATTAGAAAGGCTAAACGTGACTATGAAATTAGAGTTGCTAATGAATCAAAGACTAATCCAAAGGGGTTCTTTCAAGTGTATAGGACGAAGGTGAAGGAAAAAGTAGGACCTCTGAAAATTGGGAATGGACAGCTGACGGATAACGAACTGGAAATGTGTTCCTTATTTAATGACTATTTTTTCAGTTTTTACACAGGAAGATGTAAATGAGATTCCAGTAATTAACAATTATTTAGTTCCTGATGAATTTAAGTTAACTAATATTACTGTCACGAGGGACATGGTTATTAAACAGATAGACAAACTGAAGCAAAATAAGTCCCCGGGACCCGATGAGCTGTTTTCCAGGGTACTTAAGGAATGCAAGATGGAGCTTAGTCAGCCATTAACGAGTGTATTCAATGCGTCCATCCTTACCGGTGTTGTGCCAGATTTGTGGAAAATGGCTAATGAGGTTCCTATATTCAAATCAGGGGATAAGTGCACTCCTTCAAATTACCGTCCAATAAGCCTGACATTTATAGTGGGCAAGTTATTAGAATCAGTTATAGCTGACATTATCAGAAGAATTCTTTGTAACAAGATCCCATGATCCTGTTACAAAGAATTCTTCAACACTTGTTCAACCTTTGGACGAAGACCTACTTCGACTAGTGGATGGTACCACTATGACCCCGCCTCCGCCTGCTTCACCTCACCTCACTACAGTATATAAGCCATGTCTACGGCCCTATGCTGTACATTCTACAAGATTGATGGACTGAACACATCGACTCCAGGTTGAGGGACTGATTACCTCATTCTCCTCCTCTCCTTATGCCTTCCTCTTTGTATTGGACTGATGAAGCCACTGTGTGGCGAAACGTTTCCTGAATAAAGATTCCCATATGCTGCATAAGTGTCTCAATCTTCAACTTGTCGGTTTTTCAAACCATTCATCACAAAGTTCTAAATGTTGGACAGTTAAATAACCATGCCACATATAAACTAAATAATGTAGATTTAGGAGTTCTGGTTAGCAGTAATCTGAAACCAAAACAACAGTGCATAAGTGTTCACAATAAAGCTAACAGAATCCTTGGCTTCATATCTAGAGGTATAAATAATAGAAGTCCTCAGGTTGTTCTTCAACTCTATATATCCTTGGTTAGGCCTCATTTAGACTATGCTGCTCAGTTCTGGTCACCGTATTACAGAATGGATATAAATGTTCTGGAAAACGTACAAAGGAGGATGACAAAGTTGATCCCATGTATCAGAAATCTTCCCTATGAGGATAGACTGAGGCCCTGAATCTGCACTCTCTAGAAAAGCGTAGAATTAGGGTGGATATGATTGAAGTGTATAAATGGAAAACAGGAATTAATAAAGGGGATGTAAATAGCGTGCTGAAAATTTCCAGCCAAGACAGGACTCACAGCAATGGTTTCAAGTTGGAAAAATTCAGATTCAGGAAGGATATAGGAAAGCACTGGTTTGGTAATAGAGTTGTGGATGAGTGGAACAAACTCCCAAGTACCGTTATTGAGGCTAAAACGTTGTGTAGTTTTAAAAATAGGTTAGATAAATACATGAGAGGGTGTGGGTGGGTGTGAGTTGGACCTGACTAGTTTGTGCTGCTGGGTCTGGTGCAGTGCCCCATCCTTGAGTGGAGGTGACCAGGCTGGGTGGGTCATTGGTCTAATCCGGATGGGGGGGACATGGACCTGCTCCGCATGGGTCAGTAGGCCTGTTACAGTGTTCCTTCTCTCTCATGTTCTTAATCAAGTCATGTTTCAGTCTGTGTAGAGTTTTATTAAGCTATGTTTCACCTAGCGTAAAACTTCTCATCCAGCATATTAGAGCAGAGTGAAGACTAACCACCCACAATACTGTGGCTGGAAGACTTCACCATGGAACCCCCTCACTTGGGACTTGACAATGGTCCAGGGACGAGCGGAAGCGTTAATAGGCTCGTCTCTTAAAGCAGAGTAGTGAGGAAGAGGTACGATCGTGACAGCGAGGAGGAGGACGAGGAGGCTGGAGGCTGGAGGCTGGAGGCTGGAGGCTGGAGGCTGGAGGCTGGAGGCTGGAGGCTGGAGGCTGGAGGCTGGAGGCTGGAGGCAGTACAGATATCATACCGGCTAGCTATATGGGACATGAGTGTTATGCAGAGAATGAGGAATGTGTAAATTACACACACACACACACACACACACACAAATGGTTTTATAGTATGAAAAAATATTAGCGGAAAGACCGAAAGTGAGACTCTTGTTACTGTTTGGCCATGTGGCATGCAAAGAGTACGTAACCTTTATTCGGCGCATGGACACACCCTCATTTACAGGCTATCTCCCCCAACCAGCGAACCAGGTTGCTAAGAGTTGGTGATGGGGCCCCGTCGTTCAACTAGTGACCAGGTTCTAGCCAATAAGAAGGTGGGATTGGCAATCGCAGAGGTTATGTGGGTACCGCTCTCCTGTCTGCCCTTGTCATTCCCATTCTAGAGCTGGTTGAGCACGGTCTGCTATCTTGTGGCTTCTATTTCTGCCTTGCTTACCGTGACGTGCACTATACTTATTACTGTACATAGTGTACATATTGCTGTTCTAAATTGGTGAAGGATAATATAAGTCTAAACTTTTTCTGCTGTGTTTCTTTTGCTCCCATTACACCTGGGATAACAGGCCTTTGAAATCCTAGGTTGTAATAGGCCATGAGGAAAGTACTGAGTGGGCTAGAATACTCGGGAGGGTTTATCAGTCTGGGGCAGATGATGGTAGATGTGATATTCGAGGAAAGGCTATCGATATTATTGTGTTATGGCTGATTTGAGAGACAGGTGGTTACACAGCAAAGTACAGACGAGTACAGCTTTTCGAGTATATTTAGGTTAGAGCTGGTAGGTGGTGAGTGCAGATGACAGAGCTTCAGTGGAATGTCTGTCTCCAGCACCTGCTCTCTCTCTCTCTCTCTCTCTCTCTCTCTCTCTCTCTCTCTCTCTCTCTCTCTCTCTCTCTCTCTCTCTCTCTCTCTCTCCTCTCTCTCTCTCTCTCTCTCTCTTATATATATATATATATATATATATATATATATATATTTATATATGTATATATACACATCTGCTTATCTTACCCTCAGTAAGTCCCACGTGAACATAAACATTCTCTCCATTATGGTTGGGATAGATCCTGATGTACATCCTGTAGCCTCCCTGGAAGACGTAGAAACTCTGTGACCTCAGTGAGCGCTGTCTGCCCCAGTTGTTCATCTTGTAGTTCACGTCTGCCACCCTCCAGTAGTAAGTGAACACCCGCCGACCTTCCTCCTGGTGCATAGTTGAGTTGAAGCGGTAGATCTCCGTCTGACGGGGCGAGACTTCCTCCTGTAGGAGCGGGAAGAATTTAGTGGGGAGCAGAGGAGTTTTGTGGGACCAAATGATCCCTTTAGGGAGAGCAGGATGCTCTCTTTGGGGAAGGATGGTTCAGTGGGGAGGCTGGGGAATTTTGGAGGGTGAGATGACATGTATAAAAATTTGGTTAGTAGTTAAAGTATTGAACTTAATTCATTGGAATCTTTGGGTAAAGGCCGGTCAAATGGGTGGTTAGGTATGGTTGGTTTAGAGAAGGGCGTGCCTAGTTTGGGCCAGTAGGCCTGCTGTATGTTCTACCAGGGGAACGCCGACCCTTGCTGGAGGTAGACCAGATTCACTTGTAATATTAATTGTTATATCTCAATAGTTTACAGAAATAACCCACACAGAAAAAAACAAAACATGCTGAGATTTATTCATAAAATATCTTTCAGGGCGACATGGCAATGCCTCAGAAATTACTGAGTCCATCAACTTTGCCAGCAACTGAAGTTTGGCTGACTGGCCTGTAATTTGAAGCAAAGGTTCTATCTCCCATTTTGATCAGATCATAACATGATAAAACTCTGCAGGGAGCGAAACGTCATCTTTCTAAACCTCTGTTGTGTAGCCTGTGTGTTGTCCTCACTATTGCGAGGACATATTCCTGTCCAGTTAAAGAGTCAGTTTCTCTCTCTCTCTCTCTCTCTCTCTCTCTCTCTCTCTCTCTCTCTCTCTCTCTCTCCTCTCTCTCTCTCTCTCTCTCTCTCTCTCTCTCTCTTCGATAAAAAGAGTCCACTTCTTATTGGCTGTCAGGATCATGCTCCAGCAGCCCCGACTCAACCAGTCAGAACTTCTCAATTTCCTATTTTTCTATTCTCTTCGTCGCCTCTTGAGAGAGCAGGTTAGAGAGTTAAGGAGGGAAGGGGGGGGCGGCGTGCCTTGATGCTGCCGGTGAGGGGGCCCTTGATCCAAGGAAGTGGAGTTATTTTTCTTTAGTTTAGTCTAAATAGAAGGTGTTCAGCCCCCTCGGCTTAGTTATTAAACACCCTTTATCAAGGCTAAGGGACTGAACACCATTTATCACGACTATGAGAGTGAACACCATTTTTCACGACTAAGGGACTGAACACCATAAAGTTACCTCCACATTTCTTCCACTGCCCCCAGAATAAAAATCACCTCTGTATTCGACTGCAGAAGCTTTCTGGAAGAGTGAAACTCTTCAGCCCTAAAGCTACCCAGGTGTTGTACCTGCGTCTCACTTATCTTCTACTGAAAACACACCACAGACCACTACAGCAGACCTCACAGACCACTACAACAGGCACCAGAGACCACTACAACAGACCTCACAGCCCACTACAACAGGCACCAGAGACCACTACAACAGACATCATAGATCACTACAGCAGACCTCACAGACCACTACAACAGGCACCAGAGACCACTACAACAGACATCACAGACCACTACAGCAGACCTCACAGACCACTACAACAGGCACCAGAGACCACTACAACAGATATCACAGACCACTAAAGCAGACCTCACAGCCCACTACAACAGGCACCAGAGACCACTACAACAGACATCACAGACCACTACAGCAGACCTCACAGACCACTACAACAGACCTCACAGACCCACCTCCTCCTGCAGGCTGTAATCTGCAGCTTCATAGCCTTCCTCGTGGCCTTCCTCAGGTTGATAGGTGTAGTCTGCTCCTGCTGTTGTTCCTGCTGCTGCTCCTGCTGCTGCTCCTGCTGCTGCTCCTGCTGCTGCTCCACTCCTTCTAGAAGGAGGGGGGGGGGGAGAACACGCCCTCAGAACTCATCATTATCTAACTTAGTATTAGTATGCAAATCTCTTTAATAATAATAATAATAATAATAATAATAATAATAATAATAATAATAATAATAATAATAATAATAATAATAATAATAATAACAGGTTTTATACTTATGTAAGTGTCTTTTTTGGGGAGTAGATTTTTTTTTTCTAGGTCTTGGGCGCTGCAGCCACTGTGTGTGTGATGGGTGAGTCAGGTCTAGGCTGGTGGGTGACACTGCTGACTCATCTGAGGAGCGTCTCCCTTGAGTGTGTGGGGGTGCCATGAGTGTGTGGGGGTCCCATGAGTGTGTGGGGGTCCCCATGAGTGTGTGGGGGTCCCATGAGTGTGTGGGGGTCCCATGAATGTGTGGGGATCCCATGAGTGTGTGGGGATCCCATGAGTGTGTGGGGGTCCCATGAGTGTGTGGGGGTCCCCATGAGTGTGTGGGGGTCCCATGAGTGTGTGGGGGTCCCATGAGTATGTGGGGGTCCCATGAGTGTGTGGGGGTCCCATGAATGTGTGGGGATCCCATGAGTGTGTGGGGATCCCATGAGTGTGTGGGGGTCCCATGAGTGTGTGGGGGTCCCATGAGTGTGTGGGGATCCCATGAGTGTGTGGGGATCCCATGAGTGTGTGGGGGTCCCATGAGTGTGTGGGGGTCCCATGAGTGTGTGGGGGTCCCATGAGTGTGTGGGGATCCCATGAGTGTGTGGGGGTCCCATGAGTGTGTGGGGGTCCCATGAGTGTGTGGGGGTCCCATGAGTGTGTGGGGGTCCCATGAGTGTGTGGGGATCCCATGAGTGTGTGGGGATCCCATGAGTGTGTGGGGATCCCATGAGTGTGTGGGGATCCCATGAGTGTGTGTGCGTCCCCCATGTGTGGCCGTCCCCATGAGTGGGCATCCCCCATGAGTGTAGGCGTCCCATGAGTATGGGCGTCCCCATGAGTGAAGGCGTCCCATGAATGAGGGCGTCCCACGAGTGTGGGCGTCCCCCATGAGTTGGCGTCTTCCATGAGTGCAGGTGTCACATGAGTGTAGGCGTCCCATGAGTGAAGGCGTCCCATGAGTTTGGGCGTCCCTTCTCCGTAATTATAAAGTTCATTATATAAAATATTCCTGTCGTTTAAGTCCTGAAGGTAAAGTTGATCTGTCATTATAGTGAGAGATGTCTGTCATTATAGTGAGAGATGTCTGTCATTATAGTGAGAGATGTCTGTCATTATAGTGAGAGATGTCTGTCATTATAGTGAGAGAGGTCTGTCTTTAGTGAGAGATGTCGTCATTATAGTGAGAGGGGGTCTGTATTTTTTAGTGAGAGATGTCGTAAATTATAGTGAGAGAGATCTGTATTTAGTGAGGAAAGTCTGTCATTATAGTGAGGGTCTGTATTTTTAGTGAGCGAGATCTGTTTATTATAGTGAGAGGGGTCTGTAAATTTAGGAGAGTGTCTGTCATTTTTGTGAGAGAGTCTGTATTTTTAGTTTAAAAGAGAAACTGTCATTATGTGGAGATGCCCGTCAAATTTTAGTGAGAGATGTCTGTCATTAAAAGTGAAAAGAGATCTGTCATTATAGTTTAGAGATGTCTGTTTATTATATTTAGAGATGTCTGTCATTATAGTGGAGAGATTTTCATTATAGTGGAGATGTCTGTCTTATAGTGAGGGATTTTGTCATTATAGGGAGGATGTCTTTTTCATTTTAGTGAGAGAGATCTGTTTATTTGTGGAGATGTCTGTCATTATAGTGAGGATGCTTTTTTATAGTGGGGAGAAAGTCTGTCTTTTTAGTGAGAGATGTTGTCATTTTTGTGAGGATGGGTTTTATTTTGTGAGAGAGTCTGTCTTATAGTTTAGAGAGATTGTCATTATAGTGGAAAAGTCTGTCATTTTAAAAAAGAGATGTCCCGTCTTATAGTGGGAATTTTCTGCAATTTTAGTGAGAGATGTCTTATTTAGTGAAAAATGTTGTCATTATTTGTGAGGATGTTTTGTTTTTTATGAGAGATGTTGTATTATAGTGGGATGTCTGTCATTATAGTGAGAGATTTTCTGTCATTATAGTGGGAGAGGGTTTTCCTTAAAAGTGGGGAGATGTCTGTCATTATAGGAGAGGGGTCTGTCATTAAAGTGAGAGATTGGGCTGTTTATTATGTGAGGGGGTGTTGGGCTTTTTAGTGAGAGATGTCTGTCATTATAGTGAGAGGGTGTCTGTCATTATAGTGGGGAGATGTCTGGGTTTATTATAGTGAGAGTTTTCTGTCATTATTGTGAGAGATGTCTGTCATTTTGGGAGGATGTCGTCATTATAGTGAGGGAGAAACTTTTTCATTATAGTGGGGAGATGTCTGTCATTTTTAGGAGAGATGTCTGCATTATAGTGAGAGATGTTTTGGGCATTATAGTGAGAGAGGGTTTTCTTTTTAGTTTAGGGGATGTTGTCATTATAGTGAGAGATGTCTGTCATTTGTGAGAGATGTCTGTCATTATAGTGAGGGGATGTTTTTCATTATAGTGAGGAAGTTGTTCATTTTAGTTTAGGGGAGATCTGGCATTATAGTGGGGATGTCTGTCTTATAGTTTAAGATGTCTTCATTATAGTGAGGATGTCCCGTCATTATAGTGAGAGATGTTGTATTTAGTGGGGAGATGTCTGTCATTTTTAGGGGAGGATGTTTTCATGTTTGTGAGAGATGTCTGTCCTTATAGTGAGAGAAGTCTTTCATTTAGTGAGAGATGTCTGTCATTATTTGTGAGAGATGTTTTGTCATTATAGTGAGAGATTTTCTGCTTAAAAGTGAGGATGTTGGGCATTATAGTGGAAAGAAGTTGTATTATAGTTTAGAGATGTCTGTCTTATAGTGGGAGTCTGTCAAATTTTAGTGAGAGATGTTTTGTCCTTATAGTGAGAGAAAATCTGTCCTTATAGTGGGGAGATGTTTTGTCATTATAGTGAGAGTTGTTGTCATTTTTAGTGAGGGGTGTCTGTCTTTATAGTTTAGAGGATTTTGTCATTATAGGGGAGAGATGTTTTGTCATTTAGTGGGGGGAGATCTGTCTTTTTAGTGAGAGGGTGTTTTGGGCATTATAGTGGGGAGAGATCTGTCATTATAGTGAGAGATGGGCTGGCATTATTGTGGAGTGTTTGTCATTATTGTGAGAGATGTCTGTCTTTTTTGGGGGAGAAAAACTGCAATTTTAGTGGGAGAAGTTGTCATTATAGTGGGAGATGTCGTCATTATGTGGAGATGTCCCGTCATTTTTGAGAGAGATTTTGTCATTATTGTGAAAAGGGTCTTTCTTATAGTGGGGAGAAACTTTTCATTATAGGGGAGAGAAGTCTGTCTTATTGTGAGGAGATCTGTCTTTTAGTGAGAGGGGGTCTGTTTAAATTTAGTGGGGAGAGATCTTTTTTTATAGTGAGAGGGTGTCTGTATTATTGTGAGAGAGAAACTGTCATTATAAATGAGAGGATTCTGTCCTTATGTGGAGAGATCTGTCATTATAGTGAGAGGGTGTCTTTTCATTATTGTGAGGAAAATGTCTTTTCATTTGTGGGGGAATTTTCTGTCCTTTAGTGAGAGATTTTTGTCATTATAGTGAAAAGGGTGTCTGTCTTATGTGAAAAGATGTCTGTCCTTATTAGAGGGTGTCTGTCATTATAGTGAGGATTTTTCTGTTTATTATAGTGAGAGATGTTGTCATTTTTGTGAGGAAGTCTGTCATTATAGTGGGGAGATGTCTGTCATTTGTGAGGATGTTGTATTATAGTGAGAGATTTTCTGTCATTATAGTGAGAGATGTCTGTCATTATAGTTGGGATGTCGTCATTTTAGGAGAGAGAAACTGTTTATTTTAGGGGAGATGTTGTCATTATAGTGGGAGATCTGTCATTATGTGGGATTCTGTCATTATAGTGAGAAAAGGTCTGTCATTTTAGTGAGAGATGGGTTTTTCCTTTTATAGTGAGAGCTTTTCTGTTTTTATAGTGAGAGGTGTAGTCATTATAGTGAGGGGATGTCTTCATTATAGTGAGAGTTTTCTGTCCCTTATAGTGAGAGGTCTGTCATTATAGTGAGAGAGATCTGTCATTATAGTGAGAGATGTCTGTCATTATAGTGAGAGAGATCTGTCATTATAGTGAGAGATGTCTGTCATTATAGTGAGAGAGATCTGTCATTATAGTGAGAGATGTCTGTCATTATAGTGAGAGAGATCTGTCATTATAGTGAGAGATGTCTGTCATTTAGGGGAAAAGTTGCTATAGGAGAGGTCGTCATTTAGGAAAGATCTTCTTTTAGTGGAGAGTCTGTCATTTGTGGAGAGTCGCATTTATGGAAAAGTCTGTCATTTTAGTGAGGGTCTGTCATTTATTTAGAGACTGCATTTTAGTGAGGAGGTCTGCATTTAGTGAGAGAGTTGTCATTTAGTGAGAGGTCTGCATTTTGTGAGAGATCTGTCATTATAGTAGAGAGTCTGTATTTAGTGAGAAATTTTTGTCATTATAGGGAGAGTCTGTCATTTGTGAGAGATTTTGTCTTAAGGGGAGGTCTGTATTATAGTGGAAGGTCTGTCATTATAGTGAGAGAGCGTCATTTAGGGAGGAGTTTTCATTATGTGAGAGGGGTTTTTGTCATTATAGTGAGAGGCTGTCCCTTTGGGGAGGGGTCTGTCATTATAGTGAGAGGTCTGTATTATAGGAGAGAGATCGTCATTATAGTGGAGATGTCTGTCATTATAGTGAGAGGTCTGTCATTATAGTGAGAGAGTCTGTATTATGTGAGAGAGTTTTCATTATAGTGAAAAGGTTTTGTATTATAGTGGAGAGTCTTTCATTTGTTTAGGAGTTGTCTTTAGTGAGAGAGTCTGTCATTTAGGAGAAGTCCTGTCATTATATGAGAGGTCTGTCATTTTGGAGAGAGTCTTCATTATGTGAGAGAGTCTTCATTATAGTGA